AGGGAAATAGAGAAGCAAATATGTTCTCAAGGATATAGTGGAAAAGGTATGTGGGCAATAGGTAAGTAAAACATCTGCAGGGGCTATAGACATGATTTTATGTGACAATAGAAAAATATGGATTTAATTGTTCCTAACTACATAAAGGTAACTAAAAAGCAGTACTTACAAGTACACAAAAACTTCCAAAATGACTCAAAGGATAAAAGGGAGTATATAAAAATGTGACAAAAGTATCAAATGTAAGGAAACAAGAAACAGCAACAAAGGGAAATGGGTAAGAAATATAAAAGAAGAGAGAAATACCATTAAGAATTTCAGTTTGTATACTAAATGTAAGTTGGCTAAATTTCTGTAGCAAAGGCCTGAGACTGTCAGATTATGTAAAAACACAAAGTACTATTATATGTTGTTTATAAGAAACACACCTAAAACAGTATGACAAAGAAAAGTGAAAAAAATGCAGAGCAAATAACAGCAAAATCAAATATTACAAAAAGGAAAGCCTCAATTTACATACTACCTCTATAATTTGTAAAGTATAAGAAAAAAAGTAAAACTATTTCAATCTATGTTAGAAATTGTACTGATATCAAAAATCTCCCATTTTTGTTTCATAATTGCTGGAATTGTATTAATTTTCAAGAAATAAAAAAATTGGCAGCTATTTTTATTACCTTTTTGTGGGAGGCTTGAATGGCTTCTTTGAAAGCAGAATTATGATCTGATTTTTGACTTTTCTTTGAGGAAAAAAGAATTGGTACATGAAAAGAGTTCTCATCTTCACGCAAAGATGAGGCTCCTTGATCTTCATTCTGTTTAAAAGAAGTTAAATCCCTGTAGAAATCTGTTTCCAAATCATCTTCTTCAGTCTGCACCTGGAGAGAAATCCATGTGAAATAAAACACAACTTAAGAAATACTGGAAAACTTGTGAATATTGAATGCAATGATCATTCATTTATGCAGTCAGTCAACATTTACTAAGGATGCATTTTGCTAGAGAACAACCAGTAATGTTACTCCCTTCATCCAGAAAGTTAAATTGTTTAGTTGGGAAGAGAGATAATCACAAAAACCTTAATTCAATGTGGTAAGTATTATGATGACAGTGGGCTCCCGCAGATAAGGCTAAGATCCAGAGAGGCAGCATTAGGAAAGTCTTCCTTAAGGAAATGACACCTAAACTGAGATTTAACAGGATGATAAGCACTGAGAGCTATTTTTAGTCTGCCCGTGATTTTGAGGCAATGTGCAACCTAGTTTAAGGGGCCTTTCAGAAAACTGACACTTAGAAAAGGGGAGAGCAGATGTTTTCTGATTTTTCCCTAGTTCTATCTCTATCTCCTTAGCATTATTGAAATCCTAGGCTTCAGCACTCTCCTGGCCATATCTGAGACACAGAGGACAAATAATCAAGTGGTTCATTGACTTGATCTGGGAAGAACAGAAGAAACAGCCAGTGGGACTTGAGTTAAGTTGCATACAGAGCAGGATATTTTTCCAGGAACAAGTCAAACCCCTGTTATGGTTATGTAGCTAAGAAGAGAAAAATGGATACATTTAATAAAATGAGGCAGCCACGTAAATTGATTAATGAATAGAGTAGGTCTTCGACTAACATCTTTGGTCAACATTGTTTCCTTATAATACTGATGAGAAAAAAAGTAAATTCCTTTGGGCTACTGTCTGGGTGGAGTTTGCACATTCTTCCCAGGTCTAGGTGGGTTTCCTCGGGGTACTCTGGTTTCCTCCCCCATTCTAACGCTGTCCACACTGGTCTCAGCCTGAATGTGAGTGTAAGCATAAGTGTGTTCTGTGATGGGACAGCATCTTGTCCAGGGCTGTTCTCACTTTGCCCTGAGTTGCTGGAAGAGGCTCCAGTCACCTGTGACCCTGAACTGAAATAAGCAGGTTGAAAATTGAATGGATAAATAAATAGAAATTATTGTAAAATAAAAAATTATAAAGTTGGCAGGTGTGGTGGCTCATGCTTATAACCCTTGTACTCTGGAAGGATGAGGCAGCTGGATAAGTTGAGCTCAGGAGCTCAAGATCAGCCTGAACAAGAGCAGGACCCCATGTCTACTAAAAAAAAAAAAAATGAAAAACGAGTCAGGCGCCTATAGTCCCGGCTACCTGGGAGGCTGAGGCAAGAGGATTCTTAAGGTAAAGAGCTGTGACGATGCCACGGTACTCTGCCCACGGGACAGAGTGAGACTCTGCCTCAAAAAAAAAAAAAAATTGTAAAGTATATATTTATCATACAAATGCACAACAGTAAACAGTGCAATACAAAAGTGCTCATTGAAACTATATTTGTGATTGTTTTTGAATTATATGTCGGTAGGAGAAACGCCATACAATTTTCTCTTTGTGAACATTGATTCTTTGATTTAGCCCATCACCACTATGACTTTTATCACTCACGGATCAACCAGACATTGGGTAAATCATTCTTTTAATTTATTTTTATTAATCTTTCTTAAATGTATGTATAGCTCACATTTATTTTAATGTTTAATATTAGAAGCATTTTGCCCTTTATTTAGAACTTTGGTGATGGTTTTGTCACCAGTAATGTTCCTGTGGACATTCTTGTTTAGTCTATGGTAAAATTGATTTTGTTATATGTTGTTTGTCTTAAAGTCACAGTTTCCAAGAACTTATTCATGATGTTAAATGAATAAGTACATTTACAGTAGTACTGCTTTATGTTAAAGATGCTTTTCTGGTTTGGGATGGAAAGAGCTTTCCTTGTTTTAAAATATTCAATATTAAAATGCACTGTAAGACAAACCACATGTCACCATTAAAGAGTTTGCACAATTAGCTAAGAAAAGACAAAATAATCCAGCTGCAAAAGGCTATTGCTCAACAGTAAAATACAATCAAAATTCAGTGTTAACTTTCAGATATTGCCGTATATACTAGTTAGCATTTAAAATGTCCATGATATGAAACTCTCTAGTTAATAATAAAGCAAGACAATTATGTTTAAACATACCTGCTTACATTTCTTTATTGCTTCCTTAAAAACTCAGACAACAAATATTTGTTTTATGAATTAGCCTTCATGTAAGAAGAGATGTGTCATCACACATAAAAAGATGTTATCATAAAAACAAGAGGTCTTGAGCATCTGTCCATATATACCAGGTGGGTGGGAAGACAAGTTTATGGGTTAAAAGTGGTGAAAAATTAAATTTATACTGGGAAACTGGGGCCAGGTCTTGTATGTCCTGCTGAAGTATTTGGATGTAATTCTAAAGGCAAGATTTTGTATATACACATGTGCATAAGTTCTTAACATTATTTGAAAGAAAGAAAAATTCACAGTGTCATCATCACATTTGTTTCACGAAGATGACATTTACTGTAGTTAACTGAAGTGCAGGAAGCAAGGAGAACAGTTTAAAAATTTGATACAATAAGCTAAATTAGACAGAATAATGGCCAAGTCTAGGGGAGTGGTGACTGAAAGAAGAGAAATTCGCAAATGTGAAAAATATTTCGGTAGTAAATCTACACGAGTTGTTGATTGAGGAGATGCTGGGGAGAGAAAGGAGGCAAAGGGGAGTCGAGAGTGATGGGAAGAAATACAGCAATCGAAGGCAACTTTTGAAAGGACGAAAATGAGGTTTCTTCCAGTGGAAAGTAAGGAACAGCAGGTAGCCTCTCTCATACTCCATTTCCCTAGATTTTCCCAGTAAGAGATGCTGCCCAGAAGCTGGGGACAAAGTTTTATTCCCTATTCAACATATTATTTCTGAGCTCCTCCTGACTACCTGTGGATCTGGTGGGCTGATGACCTCCTAGGGGCTTCATATGCATGCATCAACAACTTCTAATTTTGTGTTTGAGGAAAGAAGGAGATGGGGTTTGTTGGGAGAGGCAGAAGAGAGTGGAGAAACATGGCGGGTATGGTGGCATCTAGCTTCCTTTGTTGCAAGGGTTAGAGACAGAACCCAAGGTTTTGAATTTCATTAGGAATTTAGGGAAGAATTGAGGGATTGCAGAACTGCTATATACTCAGGGACCTGGAGGCTTTGGGATGCAGCAAGAGGCAGTGTCGGGGTAAGTCAGCAAATTGGTAAGGAAAGTTTAGTGATGGTAGCCGTGCTGGGAGTTTGCTGGTGACAGCAAATGTTTAGCAGACAGCCATAGCAAAGCAGCAGCACCAAGAAGAGAGAGGAGGATTCCAGAGTAATTGACAGAACTCTGGACACTGGGACAGGGATCTCAGGGTTACTGAACTCTGCATTTAGCAGCTACGGGATGCCTAAGTGACATAATTCTGGTGTTACTGCTAATGTGACCTCTTTTGAAAGTTCTCACACAACATAAAACATTGAAGAGACTAACACACACATGAGACACCAGTCATATACTATAACATACTGATTGTGGAGATGAAGTAATACTCAAGGACTTGCCCTAATGGATTCATGACCTCTCCACAACTGTTTTCCATAAACAGATTCAAGATGAGCGTGAATGATAGAGCCTGGGTGATCCTGAATCTTGGGCAGAATAAACTCAAATGTGTCCTTATATTATGCACCACAGTTCTGACAACTGGATTTATTCTTTATAACCAAGACCCACCGTGTTTATATATATATATATAGTTTTTTGGGAGAGAGAGAGAGAGACAGAGTCTGCTGTGGGGATCACAGCTTCTCTGATTAGGTCCCCACTGCCTGCCATCAAAGTCCCCAGTGCTGACAAACTCGTGACTGACACTTGTATTAGTCATTACTTACTTTACAACTTCTCTCATCTCCTCTTTGTAGGAAAAGAAAAGCTGCATTTCCATACTCCTTTGGGCCAATGAAATGTGAATACAAGTTATAGCTGTCATTTTAAGAGTTGTTGGGCAATACGTCACTTAGTTTTGGAAATTGATCATGGAAGCAGTTGTTAAGGCAGAACCTCAGAAGTCCTTGGGTTTCTGAGTGACTATTATAAGTACAGTCCTTGTTAACTTTCATTGGACAGGCAGTATGAGTGATAGTGTTCTAAGATACTCACCTCTTAAAAGT